AAAATAAACACCTCCACTGGTACAGAAACTTCAAGCCACTAGTTTGAAGCCCCCCTATGTTCCACTGGGGAAGGTGAAAGACAAAAAAATGACCATCCCATCGCCTTTCTTATCTAAACTTCCTGTTTATTCATGTTATTGTTAAGTTTTTCTTAATCCCTAATTACATACATATATATATATATATATTATACATAGTACACGATGTAATTCAGTAGACCCAACTGTGGCAACCCACTGACAAAAATGTCATATCATGTGGTTAGTCCATTTATCATTACACTGTAAGGTTGGAAATTGATGAATACCCTCAAATTATTGTTGTTTAGTTGCAATTTGTAGGGTAATTAGATGACACACGCACGTACGCACACACACACACGGACAGCGGACAGACGGACGGATGGATAAATGGAGAGACGCATTTATGTGTATATGCTATCATACCATACCGCAATTTAATTTAACAAGACAGGAATAACCTTCAGAAACAAACAATTAATCACATGTATAGTGTACATATAATATATACCACCATCCATTCATCTATATTGTTTATTGTATAGTTAGTTGTCTACAATCTAGATCGACGTAATAAGGTAACAAAATTGACATATCACCTTATTCTGTAAATTTATATAAACATAACACACACATATGTGGCCGATAAAAGTTGATCCTTTGTGGTCGCTTATTATTTACCTTAATTTTGCATATGCGCACACTCTAAGCTTTAAAGGTCATTATCACCGGTAGTCAGTCATTCTGATATACGCATATATTATATATAACTAATTCCTCTTGTCATAAATATTAGATATTATTATTATTTCCTTTGATTCCTAGAGGACCATAGAGCTTCAGCCGCAAGTCTCTATTGCGTTCGGTTCTCTGCCAACGTTTTCATCGCCTGGCTCCACGTCTGCCCACGTGATTTCATCTCCTCTTCACATCACCTCCTCCAAGTCACTCTTGCAATGACGACCAACTCGCCGCTTCCCTTTCGGGTCCCACTCGAGCAATGGCTTGTCTAGTGATGCCACTTGATGGTTTCCTTAGAGTATGGCCAATCGACTTCTATTTCTTCCTGCTTATTTGTTGCACAATTGGTTCCTGCTGAGTTGGTTCGCTTCCAGAAATCCATCCCTATAGCTGATCTTTTCTGGCCATCTGATCTTGAGTACTATTGAGCGAAGATAACTGTTAGTGAAGGTCTCCAGTTTGTTTGAGATGCTCTTTGTGACGCGCCAAGTCTCTGATCCATATAATAAGTAGCACTGACTGACTTCACATTGAATTTGAAAATCCGGATCTTATTTTCATTTTCATGCTGAGTAGTGCTGTTGACCTTCACACAGACTTGAGGTTAATGAAAGCTTGCCTTGCTTTTCCGATCCTCACTGCTTTGATATCCTCGTCAGTTCAGTCTGTAGTTGAAACGATGTTTCCCAGGTAGGTAATGGAAGTTGTTTCTTTCAGGTTCCTCCCATTTATGCTGATTGTTGTCTGTTGTTGTTGTTGCTGTTGGTGATGGCCAGGAATCTTCATCACCTCTGTTTTCCCTATGTTCACCTGAAGTCCTATATTTGATGTTTCTTCTACCAATTGGTTAATTGGTGGATGGTGACTAGCAGTAGTGGAATCCAGGATAAAAGGCGCATTTCGTCGTCCTATTTGGGACTCGTCAGTCACTGGATGTGCCTGCATTCCAGTGGGAATATCATCATTCACTCACTCACTTATTGTGGAATGCAGGCACGATACATCCAGTTGACGAGTTCCAAAAAGGACAAAATGCGCTTTTTATCCTGGATTCCACTACTTCTAGTCACCATCCTCCACCAATTAATTTATAATTACATGTCCAGACACATCGTCGAAGCATCTGCACAAGGAGGAGCCGACATGTCAACCTGAGTGAGACAGAGCACTTCGGTCCAATCAATTAATGGACGGGAAAATCTAAAATTCAATTAAATATGCCAATTGGTGTTAAAAAATGGCTGTGTAACATAAATGGCATCGACCCTCTGTGGTCAAACTTTAAAGAAAAACAAATCAAATCTCTACAAACCATCTCTTGAAAAGTAATCCGATGTTTGCACTAGTGACTGGTTATAGAATGGAGTTGCCTGGAGTTAGTTCTAGTGAGAAGTTGTGTGATCAGTGGGGTTCATCCTGTCGGGATCGAGGATAAATGCTCGCCACGGATGACGACATTGACGCTGGTGCCAGTTGTGCTAAAAGAAGTCACGAATTTGGTGCCTTTGGTTAGAATTCATGGGGTGTGTGACCATTGAGGAGTTGGGTTCCCAGTGACTGGTTGAATGGTCTACGAGCTAATCTGACTTGTAACCTGAAGGTCCTGGGGTTCAAACCCCGGTGAGTGAGTGAGTGACTGCGTGCTGCTGAATAGTCGCAAATTAGGCTGAGCGTTTCAAAGTCATTGATGCAGTCGTACTCCATTGGTATTCATACACTAGTGCTTAAAGTTTAAATTGGCTAGAAAATCAAAACTTCTGAGTAGTAATGAAGCCGGCTGAAAGTGATGTCAAACAGTCCAGTGCTGAATCAACAATCTTCATGACGACCGAATGAAGGTCTTTCCACACTTTGCTTAAATCCACAGTTATGTCGGATGACCTTATATGATGTATGAAGTGAAATCAATCAATCACACGTATAATGTAATCACATATGTAATTCAGTCGATATAGACTGACATTGACAGTTACTGATAAAGAAGGTTCAAACAAGTTGTCATAAAACTGTCAATATACCTGATATTTAAATTGTATTAGTCTACCAAAACTTAGTGTGCATCGGTGGTTCCACGGGGGTAGAATGCTCGCCAACCACGCCGCCGCCTCATCTGGTCTAGGGTTCGATTCCTCGGTCGACAGACACACACACCTCCTCTTAAACCTTACTTGGCTGGTATAGAGTTGGGGAAGTTGGGCCTAAGGTAAAAAAAAAGGGAACACCACTGCCAGAAAAACTTCAAATTTGAAGCTTGACAAGCCCTATGGTGATTCCCCGTTCAGAAGGCATCAGTCCTTCCCCACCTAGTCTGAAATTTACTGATAAGAATCCGAAAAAGGAATAATTCACACAAGAGATGAACAGATCATATTGTGAAATAAGCGAGTATTTAGAGCAAATTTCACTCAAACTTTTTGAACTCCGGGGGAAGAAGAAAAATCAAGACCTTCTGTGGAATAATTTCTTTCTTTCTTTCCTTCCTTCCTTCACCTTCCCCAGTGGAACATAGGGGGGCTTCAAGCTAGAGGCTTGAAGTTTCTGTACCAGTGGTGGTGTTTATTTTTACAGGATGGGGTTGCTAGCCGGCCTCATGCCCAGCAAACCTTTCCTCTTTACCAGGATTATTTCTGGCTTAGCGAGGTAAAGGAGTGAGTCGTCCAGTGACCGGAGATCGAACCCCGGACCATGTGAGGCGTGGTCGGCGAGCATCCTAACCGCTGTGACACCGACACACTTTGTGGAATAATAGTAAGCATAAAATACGAAATAAATAGACACAGGCCTAGGTACATATATATATATATATATATATATATAGAGAGAGAGAGAGAGAGAGAGAGAGAATTAAAAGTTACCTCCATTGACAGATGAATTACACCACCAACTAGGAGTAGCACTATAAGTAGTGCCTTACACGTTAAATATGGATCACAGACACTATGATTATAAAAAATGAGAATGAAGCAAAGAACATCTTTGACAAATTTAACGATGTTCATCCTGAAATAAGTTTTACCATTGACAAAGAAAGAGAGAGACTCTAGTATTTCATTCCCAGACATCCTTATGACTAGAAAAGAGCAGAGTACAATAAGAAGAACAAGTGTATATTGGAAAACCTACATCAACTGACTGTCAGTGTATTCATCTAGCCAGCTTCCTGCCTTAGAAATACAAACACAATCTAATAAAGTGTGAATGTCCTAATAAAGAACTTAATATTATAAAACAGTTTGCTGAGTAAGAACGGTCACCCAGAAAAAATTCATCGATAAGAATATAAATCAAAAGTCAAAGCAGGTCAAAGTACTAACCAACAGTTTTCAAAAAAAGAAGGCCTTCTTCTTACAACTTCAAATTCCTCGGTGATGATAACATCATTGAGATAGTAACACAACGCCTGAAGAATATGACGGTAAAAAGAGCATTCAGTGCTGCTGAATTACACTGTGTCTTCAAAACCACCCACCCCTTATTTTGCTTTCACGAATTAAAGATAAACTGTCTAATTTCACCTCTTCTTTCTATGTGTATCTACCTAGCAATATGACTGCTTCTATGGAGTGAGCCAGTTAAGTTGCATAGGTCGTACAATTTGTCATGTTCATCTCATGTCTCATCTCATAGATACAGAACACAAAATTGGTGTTGACAAGGCAGCTATCAAAGTCATCTACGGTATACCGCTAACTAATCTTAATTTTACCTCAAGAGTTCGTGTCTATTACATATTGTTGAGACTGGCTTTTAGAATCCACCTTAATTAAGAAGCCTTATATTTATGTATCCAAAAGAAATTGGTTGGTTGGTTGGTTCAGACGCTTTCCTTAGCCCTCTTTGGCCATCAAGGTTCTAATGATCTTCAATTTGTTGTTGTAGAGATTGCCTGAATTAAACTTGATATTCTATTTACTATTATATTTTCATGCTTATTATAACTTATGCATCTTTATTGAGCTGTAGTAATTCCATCGTGATCTTAACAAATCGAAATTATTTTTTAAAAATAAACACCAATATTGTTAATGACGATTAGATTCTAGAGTATTCTGTGTACATGAATATACGTATATATGTAATTGTTAGAGCTGGAAGAGGAAATTATCGAAAAGGATTATTCTTTGCTCAAATTTTCTTTTGTCTTGTAAATGTCTGAATGAATATTTCCAATAACATTATTATTATTATTATTATTATTATTATTATTATTATTATTACTTAAATAATGTTTCACATACCTTTTACAGATGCTGTACGTTTACAATTGTATAAAAGTGCCAATTCACCAAAACACCGACCAGCTCCCATAACATACAAACGTTTACCGCCTTTTGAAACTTCAAATTCACCCTCTAAAAAAAAAGAATTAAGAAAGAAATAGAAAAAAAATTTCGGTAAAATTAAAATGAAACGAAGAATAAACATTTACTCAACAGCTCTATTTGCAATTCCATGCAGTTGAGGCAATGAGTCACACTTTTTTGGTATGACGGTTTGCACTAGTGATACTAAATGGTTGTGTAAACCTTATTGGTTGAAGTGAGATTCGAACCTGTGACCCAATAGTTGGAAATTCGACCGACTAGACTAATAAACTACAGTCGAGTACTAGGTAAGCAAGGGAAATCAATAGACGAGGCTGTGAAGCTACATTGACTAAAATTGTTAGGACATGTGTCACGTATACCTAGTCATCGCCTTCTTCGACAGGGAATGTTAGCTGACATAGGGTCAGGTTGGAAATGAGCTAGCGGTGATCAAACCAAAACATGGCATCACCAGTCAATGAAATCCATAACAGTTAGTTTAAGCCAACCAGCAACGTAGGAATGTGTAGACTTCCTGGTTGGGGTCTTCGGGACGGGTGGAGACAATTGGTGATATGGCTCAAAGTCGTCGTTCTCAATGGCTGGCGAACATGCATCCACTCCTTGTGACTTATAATACCCAATGAAACTATATTGGTCTTCGTTATTACTATTCCTTTTGTCTCATATCCCTGTCCACTGTCTCTATATTGCATTTCTTTTTACTTTCTTCTCTTGCCTTGTGTGTTACATGGAGGGAGTGTGGCGACTTGAACTGCTGCATATCTGTGCAAAGTTCTATGTCGAAAACAGGCAGACAGACTAATAAGTTACAAAAATACAGCAATTCAAACTGTCATACTATTAAATTGCACAAATAGGAGTACATCAGTCTTTCGTCTTCCACCGTTTCAATTAGTGTCACTGCCTCCGAACAGTGAAGATTCTATAACCGCCTGCTTTCGAAGAAGGAGACATTCAAGGTTTCTTGCGGGACTTTGAGTGAGGCCGTCACTGAGTTGCTGAGCGCCAATGGGGTAAGCGGTTGTGCTGGGTACACTGCTGATAAGTTAAGAAAAGGCGGTGTACGTGACAGTGTGGAGCGGTCAAGTGGAATGAAGACTTGGAAGGAGTTCAGCAACCCGCCAGACAGACTAGATGGTGAGGCAGCAGTTCCATGTCGCGAAACTGGGACCGAATGGAGACCCCCTCCCCAACCAGTGTTGGAGGTGAAGCTGACAAATCTCTAATATGTCGTGGACTCCCCCAGATTGGATAAATCTTATTAGTAGCACATGCCACAGCTTTACTCCAACTCAATTATTTTGTATCGTCATCTAGGGAATAACTTGAAATAATAAGCCGCCTTACCACTACTGTGCATAGAAAATATACTCTGAGAAATTTTCCTAATGATATATATTAGACAGTCAAGATTTATGCATTCATTCATTAGAGCTATTAAAAACTCATCTTTATTATATGCAAAAAAAGAAAAGACAGCAGCACTAAGGCAGATTAGCAGGCAGATAATACACATTAATCATAATAATTTAAGAAGAAAAAGAAAAGTTAAACCAGAGAAAAAAACAAAATATTTTTGTCAAAAACGCAAACTCTAAAGAGATTTCCAGTTACAAATGACGTCGGATCGGAGAGAAGAGAAATTTCTTCTTCTTCTTCTTCAAAGACGGTAATCCTAATAATGATGATGAGTAACAAGATGGGGGGCGGGACGGGTGGAGTAGGTGAACAATAGGCGCGCGTGTTTCTAATATCAGGGAAGAAAATCACGTGGAAGCCAACAAGGATACAATGATGAAAGTAACGAGACTTCCTTATTGTTTATTACGTGATTTCCTTTGCCTTATCATTAGATATCACAATTTAAAGTGAATATACACACATAAGCATAATTCTCTATACAGTCTTTGACAAGGATTATGTCGGTGATATAAAAAAAGACATTTTCTGTGCGCTGAAATATTAGTTAAAACTATGCGTTGAAGTTTCTCTAATGACTGAGTTGATTTTCCAGGATAGGGACGTTAGCTCCATGCTCAATCTTCCGATTTTGAGGCCTTAGAACTGTCTGGGAAACTAGCATCGTTTAAACTATACAAGTGGTGGTTGGCATACGATTCACTTGGACTGTCAAATGTAAGATAATGCACGCTATACTAATAGACTGAATTATATTGGCTCACTTCTAGCTTAAAAATAACGAGTGAAGTAGTTGGCTGAGCTTGTTGATCAGATCCAGCTTCAGCGGGTTGATCACTGACGAAATCTCAGCATGGCTACAGAAGGCTAGTTTGACATTTTCCTGTCAACTCATGCCATCTCTTGATTATAGTAGACTTGATATCCGGCTGATTGGCTGGCTGTCGAATAAACGGCGTGTACACTGTTCGGCAGTGACTTCCACCTGACCTCCTTTGTGACTGGCTGTAAATGAGACATGGACATTGAGAGTGGAAGACATGAAAAACCTCGCTAGCCAGCTGGCTATCTTTCATCACAGGTGTCTGTCTGCGTTCTAATTCCCGTGTAAGTGATATAATAGGGTGAGCAATATTGAGATGAGGCTTCGGTCGAGTGCTAGGTGAGTAGGAGGGGAAATCAATCGACAAGGTTATGTAGTGAAGTTACACTGACTGAGGGAGATGGTCAGGACGTGTGTTACACATGCCTAGTCTAGCCATCGCCTACCTTGACAACAGTCAGTGTTACCTGACTGATATAGGATGGATCAGGTTGGAAAAGAGTGAACTAGTTGTGGTGGTCAAACCGAAACATGGCTTCATGAGTCAATCGAATCCATAACAGTTAGTTTAAGACAGCCAACTAGCCAGCCATGTAAGGAGGTGTAGACTTCCTGACTGGCTGGTTAGAGTCCTTGAGATGACGGTAAGAACCAATGGCGGGGGGGGGGGGGGCTGGAGACAATTGGTGACATGGCTAAAAATCCTCGTTGTCAATGGCTGGCGCAGATGCATTCACTCTCTTTTTGTGATTTGTAAGTTATATCCAATAAAACTCTATTGCTCTTCCATATTACTATTTTTGTTGGTTCATATTTCTGTTTATTATCGCTCTCTCTTTTGAACCAGAAGGTTCTGGGTTCGAACCCAAACTAGGCTGACGAAACAGCTGCCTAGTACTTCACTACAGGCTTTCCAATGGTTCTCTAACCGATGTCACCTCATGATGAAATCCTCCAAACCAACCCAAACAAAATCTCTACAGACCAATACTGGACTATTATCATTACTGTCATTATTATTGTTATGACTATTAGCTACAAACGAAACCGACAAAGGTGATAAGTCACATATTTTTATAAACTTTGATCAACGCTCATGAGTATTAATTATTCACATGAACTAAACATGTTATTTATCCATACAATATACCTACCATCACCACCACCACCACCTATACACACCACTCAATATAAACATATTTTGCGGTATTTGACTAAAGGTCACTGAGACAAGCATGATGATAACAGCTATGAATATATATAAAGAATAATATGATGACTAATGCCCATTATGTACAAATATAGTCACACCAATAGAGAAGAATAACCTTCACTAAGTTCATATCGATTTTGTGTACTATTTTTGACTATAGAAGTTCAAATTGTCACATTTGAACACCATAAAGATTACAGAAAAAGAATTTCAATGAAACGAGGGGAAGAATAATGAAGATTTGATGAGTTAGTTCATGACTAATCTCCATACAGACATTAATGTATAAAAAACACACACATAGTTCAGCGAAGAGTCACTTTTCGCCTGTGTACATATTACTAATGTTATTATTATTACTATTGTTGTTTACTTTACTTGCTAGAGAAACATAGGGATTCAGCCGCGCACGTCTCCATTGCATTCGGTTCTCTGCAAACATTTTCATCACCTGACGCTACGTCTGCCCACATGCTTTCATCTTCTCTTCACATAACCTCCTCCAAGTCACCCTTGAACAACCAACACGCCGAGAAAGAGAGAGAGAGCCTGGCGTGTGATGTCACTTACTTGATGGTTTGTTATCTCAGAGTATGTCCTCCAAACCACCTTCATTTCTTCCTGTATATTTGTTGCACAATCAGTTCCTGCTAGGTTGGTTCGCTCCCAGAGATCCATCCCTATTGCTGATCTTTTCTCGCTTGCAATCTGATCTTCAGCGAAGGCAGTTGTTGATGAAAGTCCGTAGTTTGTTATTTTTCATCTGTCGATCCTCGAGTGTGTGTGTCATTCAGACACCACATATTCTCCGCCTGTTATAATAACAACCTACAGTCCCTCAGATTTCAAAATCTAATATGATGATACGTTTACAAATACAACATACAACACATAATTGCACAAATGTTGAGTATTTCATCATGCTCAAATGTATCCTGTTTTTATCTCTCTCCCTTTATTCAACTCATCTTTCTTTGCTTATATGTCGATTTGTCTACCTCCTCCTTACACAGTAATCCGACCCTAATAGTTCCAAATGACGCAATTTGTTCCCCTCCTTTAATGCTCTTTTTGTGTGTTCCACATTTATTCATCCGTTTCTATCTACTCATCATTTGTGTCATGACGTAATACACACACTTCCTATTTCCCACCATTCACAACAACGACGTAAAGCATTTTTTTTACCGCGATACTAAATCGATAGAAATCATCCCACTAGGTGGAGTAGGTGTTTCCTGATGAAAAACCACAGTCTGCGAAAAAATGGATATCCATTGCACCTCTTTGACTTTCTCTCTCGAATGTTAATCACTGGATCAGTCCCCCCCCCACCTGGCATAAATTTAACATTTCATTCTATGTTGCTCATAATGAAGTCTAACAATTCAACCATTCCCTTGAAAACAAAGCTTCTAGTGTTAGGAAGTATGATGATCCTTATTTGGACTGTACTTATAATTAGATGTAGGAGGTCCTTAGATCTTTATGCCGATAAAAGTCTGTCTTACCTTTTTTTGTATCTTGTCAGCCTTAGACGTCCATCATCTGTGATGCTATATGTGTAGTTGAAAAAATACTGCCCAGTCATGGAAGTAAAACAGACGAACTCCTTCGATTTTCTCCCATTCATGATGATTGTTGTTTGTTGTCAAAGCACTTTCTACCAGCGATATCAGATCGATAGAAATCATCCCACCAGGTGGAGTAGGTGTTTCCCAATAAGATGCCACAGTCTACGATAAAATGGGTGTCCATTCCACCTCTCTGAGTTTCTCACTCTCTCCCTCGAGTGTTAATCACTGCATTCATTTCTCTCCAAAAGCAGATTGTCTTTAATAGGTAGGTGTATGTCTTCCTTTTATGAGCAAAGTGAAGAAGTCGAAATATGCTCACACCATTTAACCTCAAGATTATGAGTAGACAGATCCTACACAAATTATGATAAGAACACATCTCTGATTCTTCATGAAAACGTACAGAATACGAGGAGTAAATTATATTGATAATGAAAACTACTAACCAGCCTCAAATAGAAAGAAAACTAAGAAGAGAACCCTGGGAACTCTATCTTCAGATTGTATGTGTGCGTGTGTGTGTGGATGTATTCCATAGTCGGACAATGGATGCGTAGGCGGAAACTTGAAACACCCAACCAAAATCTTCTTTCGTCTTGAAGACGATCATTCATGTGTTCATGTGTTGCCGCTCTCTAGAGACACGCAAACAAGACAACCATCCGCCAAGTCAACTACAAATGACTCACAGAACATCACAGCACCACACCACACCACCTATCTGATGATAAAGTCATCATTCGTATGAGTGAGGTGAGAAAACTAAATAAGGCCTCTCTCTACTATTTCGGCCTATTCGCCTACTTGCCTACTCATTTGTACAACCTACTACTCACTCGCTCGATCACTCAATCACTCACCATCAACCAGAAACAAACCACAAACAAACGTTAAACACAAAATGTGTACTAATTAACATCCTCCTATGGAAATGAGGTCATCCACACACACACACACACACAGAGGGACTATGTATGCAAATAAAACATTTACACTGGTTCACATTTACATAAACTGGTAAGAGATCAGTACAACACTGAATTAATATACACACACACACACACTGACACACAACCAAACCACACCATTTTTGTAAGGTGAAGGAAAAAAAAGAGAACAGGTCGAATGAGAGAAATAAATGATCATAGATAAAGTAAATGATGATATAAAGTAAGAAGAAAATAAAAATAAAAAGGTCAAAAGGTGAACTGAACACTCCTCACTTCAATGTTTACTTAAACCAAAAAAGGTATATTGGAATGAGTGAGTGATCAAAGAGTGAATAATAAACGAGTACATGTGTGTGTTTGTGTGTTCCTGTGAGTTTGAGTTGTTTTACAGCGCTTACCCAGAATTACTTGAGGTTATCTCTCACAGTGATCTACTATTCAACCTTATGTCCAACTTTAATTCTCTTTTTATTATATGATTGACCACTAGCTTGAAAGCTTGAGAGTACTGAACATCCAGCTGTTTCGTCAGCTTGGTTTAGGACTCTTCACTAGTACCCACCCACCCACCCAGGACCTAACGGTTGCGAGGTGAACTCGTAAACTACTCAGCCACTAGGACCCGACTGAATGGCCCCAATCGTACATTCTGCTATGAAGTTCGCATGTGTGAAGAGGAATCCAAAAGTAGAACTGTCCTCGTAGATGTCCTTCTTATAAGAAATCACATGGACAGCCACACGTTTAGAGCAATATTCTCGGAAAACGGGGTAATTGAAGATGAACTCAGAATTCTATGTGATATCTTGATAGATTGAGAATAGCTATCCAAACAGATTTATCAAGAAAGACATGACAAAGAAAGCGGATAAGGACTGCTCACTATCTGTAAACAAGAAGCCTTTATATATATGACTGGAATTCAAGGGTGATGCATCCAACAAGAAAACACCTGTTCAAAGAACTTTTAATGCTGGTAAACTACAAGACCGATGGTGACTTATGGATTGAAAGATGAAGTACCTAGACTAGCCACATCCCTAACTGTATGTACCAATTCAACAGCACTTGTGGTGGAGCGACTTTTATTGGCCATTGCTCTAGTAGCTTGATTTTTCGTGCTCTTTTGGGGACAGCTCCCAGTATGGCTAAATAAAGATGTAGTGAAAACTATCATCGACAGTTCGATATTAGACCACCTGGTAGAAACCAGCAGGCCACAAACCCAGGCGATGAAAACGTTGGCAGAGTGCCGAATGCAATGGAGACGTGTGAAGGAAACAATAATAATAATGTATATATAACTGTAGAACCTGATGCAGAAGAGCTGGCTATCAGTGACCATTCTTTTGGAAAACAACACAACTTTAAGGGGGGAGGCGGCATTTTTTAATCACGGTTATCCAAGCCAAATCAAACTGGTTATAAGCTTACCTGCACCAACATATAAATGTCCACCATCATCCCCTTCACGAATAATATAACAATTGGCGGCAACTGTTTGTTCATGCATGCATGAAACAACTTCTTGTAGTTGGACAGCATCTAAATTCTTGATTAAATCATTACTTCTTAATGCTTCACGTATTTGTCGACGTGAACTAAACGGTAAAAAAGAAAAAACAGAAAAACAATAATAATAACTTACAACAGAAGCACTTTTACTCATAATGACTAACTTTCTGTGCTTATGAGAATGTGTGGGTGGTGGTTGTTGCTTCCCACCTGTGTAGGGTATATGACTCAATGGCTCAAAACACTCGACTTTTAGTCAGTAGGTTTCAGGTTCGAATGCCACTCCACTCCACCTACCTCAAGCCTAATAAGAGGCAACTGGGTGGTGCCAACAGTCTTCACACAATCAATCTTTGGATTATAGCCTGGGAATTGAATTCACCTCCCAGCTGCCCACACTGTGAAAGTTTATTACTTCTTCGAGTAGGTGAAACAGAAGGAGTATTAGTGTGTTGCATTGTGATGAGTGCTACTAATAAGATTTGATCGAGGTTACAGGACTTCATCATGAGCTAACATCTGTTAGAAAACCAGCACTGGAGGACTGGACAACTGTTTAGTCCTTATCTGGGACTGCTCATCAGCATGCACCCACCGACAGAGTTCGAACCCAGGACCTTCAAGATACAAGACAATCTCGCAGATCATTAACCCCTGGGACCCGCCAATCCAGTGGCCAGTCCATGGATTCTGACTTCTACCAATTCACAATAGAGCACGACTAGCCCTAACTAATGCCATCGACGAGTATATGTCATCACACCCCACCTGCTGTACCCTACTGGTCACGATTTCTCACTAGTACCGAGGTCATAATAAAGTCCTTGAATCAATCAAAACAAATCCCTCTGCAAACCAACACTTAAATATCAATCTGAGGCTCACTAGTGACTGGTTCTATTCAGGTAGGTAGTTATCTGGGTTCTAAAGAGAAGTCGTGACCAGTGGGATCCATCCTGTTGGGAGTGACGACAAATACTCGCCAGCGATGATATTGGCTAGTGCCAGTCTCGCTATATCGTGAATAGGCAGAAGTTGGATCGGATTCCAGTGGTTGAATGGTCACGAGCTAGCTTGCCTTGTAACCAGAAAGTCGTGGGTTCGAACCCTGTTGGTGGGTGCGTATTGCTGAAGAGTCCCAAAATAGGACGAAACAGCCAACTGTCCATTACTCCAGGTTTTCCAGTGGTTCTCTAACCAATGTCAGCTCATGATCAAAATCCTGTAACCAATCAACCAAATCCCTACAAACCAATACTTGAAAACTAATATAATAATTTTTCGGGAGGGTAAGAACCAGTGACGGCTAGAGACATTCACTCTTTGTGATTTGTCGCATCCATTACAATTTTATTGATCCTCGATATTACTGTTGTTTTTTTCCTCGCACTTCTGTTTACTCTCTTCTCTTGCTTTGTGTGGTACATGGGGGGGTGGGGGTGGGGGTGGGGTGGAGAGTGGCAACTGGAACTGCTATACATCAATGCAAAGTTCCACGCTGAAACCAGTCAGTCAGTTATATTTTTATTTGAAGTTTATGATGTGCGTTGATGGCCCGGTAGTTAGGACGCTCACCGACCACTCCTCACATGGTCCAGGATTCGAACCCCGGCCACTGGACGACGCACTCCTTTACCTCGCTAAGCCAGTAATAAATAAAAAGCTGGTAAAAAGAGGAAAGGTTGGCTAGGCATGAGGCTGGCTAGCAACCCCATCCTGTAAAAATAAACGCCTCCACTGCCACAGAAACTTCAGTCTCTATAGCTTGAAGCCCCCTCCTATGTTCCACCACTGGGAACGGGAAGGATTTAAAAACAACGTTTGTGACAATGAACACACACTAGTTATTATACTTTATCATACAATCATTTCCTCCTTGTCTCAGGGATAATTATTATTAAAACAAACTTGAAGTCAATGCAGCTAGCCTACCCCTTTCAACACACATTCTCTCCTATATAAATCATATATCATATCATATATCGTATCACATGTTATCTGTTTACGGCGTATCTATGTGTTTATGCAATTTAATTTATTCTTCAAGTATTGGTTTAACATGGATTTTCACCCTCTCCTCTCCTTTCACTCTCCACCCTCTCTCCCTCCTTTATTTTAACTAAATAACATACATTGTTACCTTTTTTTCCTTTTATATATATAACCTAATATACATTACAGATCATTTCATTCACATTTCATTTACTCTAAGTAAGTAATCTGTTCTGTGTGTTCACTGCTATATAAACAACAACAACAAACATCCAACACGAATGAATTAAAAAGAAACACAGTTTAATGTGGTCAAATTGACGGGACACACTAACAAACACACAAACAAACAAACAGACTAACTAACTAACACACACTCACACACATACATACACATGTATACGCACAAATATATATCCTTATCCATATAACTGTATGTATATAAATTATATGAATAGATTTTAGACAAATTAACTGTAGATATACAGACAGATAATCTATGCTATATAGGCAAATAATGTATCATTATTAGATAGGTAGATAGATGGTGGATAGACAGACAGACGCATAGATTTTTTGTATGAACACCGTTTTTAATATAACCAGTATGTGTAAATGATAAATAATAGACACTTCACTACTGTATTATATAAATATATGTGTCCAGTTAACCTGGCTATTGATTTATATACAATATATATATATATGCTATTATGATTAAAATAATGTTTATGAAGAGTCGATAAAAAGAGTTTATAAAGTGAATGTGTACTTTAGAGTAGACCTACTACAATCTTATTAACTTTAATGTAATAGATATAAAACTGTGCAGGGAAATGTTTTAAATTCTGTTTCGAGTACATTATGTTAAATAAAAAGACTATTACTGGTTCGAGGATTTCATCAGGCAATTAACCTGGAGTTCTAGTAGTGGGAAACTGTGACCAACTAGTAGAGGGTACAGCAAGTTGAAAGGTGACGACAATTACTCATCGAAGGAGACATTTGCAAAGTGGTCGCGCTATATTGTAATCATAATAATTATGAAAGCTTCATTTCAAACATCATGTGGACATATTGAATTTTAGATTCTCACGCCGATTAATTGGACCGAAGTGCTCGGTCTCACTCAGGTTGACATGTCGGCGACTTCTTGTACAGATGTTTCGACGATATCTGGGCATTTAATTAGAATTTAATTGGTGGGTGGTGACTATCAGTGGAATCCAGTATAAAGCGCATTTCGTCTTATTTCGACTCGTTACCGGATGTACTTGCAATTAAATGCCCAGACATCGTCGAAGCATCTGCACAAGAAGCCAACGGACATGTCAACCTGAGACCGAGCACTTCGGGCCAATCAATCAATAGACGGGAAAATCTAAAATTCAATTAAATAATTAACATGACCCGTTGCGCAAGAGGTGGAGTAGCTGCCGTGGTCCAAGTGGTCTAGTGGATAACCCGCCTTGGTGTTTGAAACAATGGGCGCTGGGTTCGAGTCTCGGTGATGGGAACATTATCACCCACCAACTGGGGATGTGGGTATATCCAGTGACTGACGAGTCCCAAATAGGACGAAATACGCTTTATCCTGGATTCCACTACTGCTAGTCACCATCCACCAATTAAAGTATGTGAACATATATTACAGATGTTTTTCAGCGTATTTAGTTCCAACAAATATTCGCCCTTCATACAGAATTTACATGTAAGCCAGTAATCTTAAGTACATCATTTGTCATAGTGTTGTTGCTGCATATGATGATGACGAGAGAACCAATTCTGTACATTTTTCTCTCTCTTCAATTCCTTCAAAAATTGTATAGTTTATAGTAGGGGAAACTGATTCAATACGCGCGCAAGTTCATGTATTGATCGTTTTATGTAATTGCACGATTAAAACAAGAAATGCAGAAGATGTGTTTAAGCAGCATTTTGATGGTAGCCTAGTGATTTAAACAGGCCGCCGGATATGGAAAACTGAGTTTACAAATCATATGTGATGTGTGTATTCTTTCTCAACTTACTATTCGATCTAGCTTTTGATATACTAAGTTTCACAATGTTTGATCGAATAGATTGAAAACTTAAAATGTTATTTTAGTGAATGAATGGTGGTGACTAGCATACTAGCAATGGAAACCAGAACTGGCTCATTTCATCCTATTGTTTGGACTCTTCAGTTGCACAGACATTCTTGCTATCACCAGTGAATATATCATTCGTGAATTGGCAGAAGTTGGAACTCATACGCCATTGGATCGGGTCCTAGTTGCTTAATGGTCTACGAATTAGCTCGCCTCGTAACCAGAAGAATCTGGGTTCGAACCTCGGTGTGTGAGTACTGATGAAGAATCCGAAACTTGGACGAAACAGCTGTCCTGTACTCCAGTGGTACTTTAACTTGATGTTGGCTCATGATGAAATCGTGTAACCAATGGAAAAAAACCTCGACACACAAACCAATACTTGATAAATCACAATCTATCAAACGGCATCTCGTATTTTAACCGTCAAACATTGTCGAAGCGTCCGTATTAAACTAGGGTGCCGGTATATCTGTCAACAGAGAGTGAGCATCTCAGTTCAATAGCTCCATGTCACCCTCGCATTGACGACCCATTCGTCGCTCGTTTTCCATTCAGGTCACACTCGAGTGATGGGCGCTGCACTGCGTGCACGATGTCAGTGGCGTGTACCTTATTCATCGCCACTTTCTTCTACACACTTGTCGAGCACAATCGGCTCTTGGTTGGTTTGTTCATTGTCAGTTTCTTTTCGTTATTCTTTCTCTCGCCGGTCAGCCATTTGACCTTCAATATGGAGCCGCCAGTGAAGAGGGCAGCTGTTGTTAAAAATCTCTAACTTGTTGGGAATGCCTTTCGTGAAGCGCAAGCCTAGTTTCTGACCCATACCGAAGAAGTGACTGATTGATTTCATATTTATTATTATTAAATATTGTTCCCTTCGAATCCGAGTGAAACATGTATATAGCTTCAGAGGAACATTTTCATTCCATTCCACGAGAGGGAGCCTCCTATGCATGTAAGGCTACTGAATGGTCTCCACAGTAGATGTACAAACTATTTTC